GGAGAGAGAGAGAGAGAGAGAGAGAGAGAGAGAGAGAGAGAGAGAGAGAGAGAGAGAGAGAGAGAGAGAGAGAGAGAGAGTCATGACTTGCTTGTGAATCTTCCAGTCTCTAGTGGCACACTTCGAAATCTCAAAATTCAAATCCACTGGTCGAAAGATTGGAGAGCGCTGTCAAAACTTGAGTCGTCGTGGATTCGGCCTGCAGAGTGAGGTTGGGGAAATGCAGGCAGTGGGCACGGCCAACCATGTCATCGTAAGTCACAAATTTATGCTTTTTTCGTCTCTCTGAACACAGGATTCAGTTTCTGGGGCCGTATTTTCTCCAGCTCGCCGGGTTGTGATGACGTTGTGTCTCCTTGTGAGGACCTGTGTCACCAAAATTCATTTTTATCAAGTGAATGCTTTGCAAGAGTAAACAGATAGATGTTTGGTGGTATGTTTGAGAGTCTTAACTCTGACTTTTTCCAAGATGCCAGAAAAAGAAGTTTAGAGTGCGGAAACCTCGGTGTTACCACCTTCTTAATCTGAAAAAAACGTATGTACATTGTATTCAAATTCAACTTACCTCTAAATGACAAGAACAGGGGAAGAGGCCTAGCCAAAAAATTGGTAGGAGTAGATGAGTAGACACTACTTGACAGTAATAAAAGTAGCGTACAAATCTAGATGCATTTCTAAGAGCCCCCCAAACAAGCCCTGGCATCAAGATGGGAAAAAAACACCTACAAATTGAACCCAGCTCGGTACAATGATACAACAATCTGTACCATGCAGTTACTATACCACAATCTGGCCTCAGAGGGTTGGAACGCGGAAGCCTTCAATGGCTAATAAAATAATAAATGAATAATGCATCTGGCAGTCCCTGTAAACATGTGGCTAGGCATTAGACAGAAAGAGGAGGTTAGAATGGAGGAATCCGCAATGCCTTTCTTGGCATTTTGGCGAAGATCAAGTGTAGTATCTGTTCTGGGAACGCACTTCACAGTACCCTGACGATTTCGCTCATCGGGTACGCGGTTCGCAGTCCCCTGACGATTCCGCTTCTGGCAGGCGGGCGGGCTGAAACGCGGCAAAGGGACACGCCAGCATGGAACCGATTTTGTGCTTCATATGATCATTTTCAAGTGCCTGTTTTCACACGTATCCATCATATCTCCATGGCGTTTTGGTTTTGGATGCTATCTTTCTCGTGCCATCTCCTACATTTCTCAATTGTCTAATCGTGTCTATCTATCCTTCCGTTTTCATTGATCTACGTCTCCTGCGTCTTTGGCCTTACTGCACTCATTTGCGTCTTCCCATATTGAATTTCTGTTCTTATCAGTTTAATATGTGATCTGCGGTGCATCGGGCCACATTAAAAAACAAAACAAAACCCAGAGGAATCCTCTTGCCTCTTGGTGCAGAATGTGTCCAGACAAACAACTGGAAACTGTGGCCTGTCCTTCGGGGCAGCGGTAAAACTGGAGCGAGTGCACAGAAGATTAGCATGACCTCTGCGCAAGGATGACACACATAGATCAGGAAATGGTCCAAATTGAAAAAAGAAAAGAAATGAAGCGGTGGCCTACTGCTTCCTAGAATGTAAGCATACCAAAGGTTTGTGAGAGCAGTCTAGGAAGGTACGGTGCAAGTTGTCAAATTCCGAATAGTAGTGAATACAAGACATGCAAATTCTTCTTCCTTACAGCTATAGACAGGGCTGGTCTAGTACCAGAAGGGGAAAGGATTGTGGAACTGCTAAGGAAGACAACCCTATGGGTAATCTGGCGTGTGCGTGCGATATGCAGGGGAACAATTAGTATAACTTGTGTAATAGTAACAAGAAAACAACCCTATGGGGTAACCTGATGGTGTGCTAGATGCGGGGAAGCAGTCAGTAAGAAGAAAACAATGGTGGAAGAATCGTGCGAGGAAGCAAAAGATTTAATGGAGACAGAAACAAGGGACCTGAGATCGAACTCCATTGGAAGCATGACTGAAATACTACAATCCTGAATTACCTAGGGTCGGTCGATTCGCTGATGATATTTCAAGGCCATCACTCTGTGTTTTTTTTTTTTCCGAAAAAAAACAAAAACAAAGGCAGAGTGGAAGAGGGTATTGCTGGAGTATACTCGTAAAACTGGAAGACATTGAGATGGCGATCAGAGGCCTGAGAGACTGCTAGGAACACCCCCCCCGCACCTTGCCTTTCTTGGGATCCCCCTGCTGCATGACTAGGTGCTGCCAGTAAGCCTCCCGACCAGCAGGGGACCCCTGAAGAAGAGTTATGGTTTTGGGAGGGGTGTGTTGTAGTAGTTCCCCCCTTGGGCAGGTGACGAGGCCCGCAAGGGTAAAGCCGACTCTATGCCTTTTCTCCTCTATGTTGTGGAAACATGCTTACCGATGATAAGCAACTGGACTGACTCCCCCCGTAATAGAAGGGGCTGTTTTTTCATCTCTTTCTGTGCTTGGCCGCAGATGGCTGCGTTCCTCCTTGCCACCCCCATCTCCTCCACGGTCTCGATTGCGAACAGACTCTGGTTTCCATTATTCCCATTGTTCCCCCTTCGTTGCCAGGGACATGTTCGTCTTCTGTTTGCAATACCACTACTCCTCTTATTGTGTATCGTCGACGACATGAGCGACGTCGCCACTTGTCCGGGGATCAGCAGCCTGTTTCTTTGTCTGCCCCAATTCTCTCTATGCCTGCTCCACAGGTTATTGCAGTTCCTTTGTTCCAAACGACAATATCCACTCATATGCCTCTTGTAGACAGTCCAGCTGCGTGCAGGCCACAACACCATGTTTTATGCCCTTCAGCGTCAGATATTCATGACTCACCTGTACGACAGGATGTGGTCCCTGCCCAGAGTACACTCCCAATTCCAGGGACAGTCCCTGCTCAGGATGTGGCCCCAAATGTTGAGGGATTGGAACATGATCTGCCCGGACTGTATTTAACCCCACAAGGTGTAGACCACATGTGGGATCTGCAAAATGGCTGACTAGCATCGTTTGGATGAACCACAAATTTATGCCCCACCAAGCGCAGACAACATGGGTGATCTGCAAATTACTAACCAGCAAGCAACCTAAAACATTTTGGGATTGCAACACCAATTGGGTGATCTGCAAATTGTTGGCCAGCATCCGGCACACGAGCCTGATATCCTCATCAGTCTCTGTGGTTTGACTGCAACTAATATCTGTCTTCACATTTTCCACTGTCCGTTTTATACACCATCAGACTTCCTTGCAATCGCCCTTCAGCTTGATGTTGATCTCCCCCCCCCACAGCCAGAGGATTGTAATTATACCAGGGAAAGCGGCTTTACCATTGCTGTCCTACAAGTAGCAATGAGGGACCACCAACTGGAGCTACACGATGCTCGAGCAGGCGAGTGGTTTAATCCTCCATCCCACATCTCCGCCTGCATTGTAACACGGACATGGCCATTACATGGCCATCGTACGTACCTCTCTGACCACTGGGAATTGTGGGACAACGGCATCATGATCCATGCCATGACTCATGTTACTGATTTCTTACATAATGATGTTGTTTTCTTGCCACACAGGACTGTCCACGATCTCTTTTATGACGAAGATCATTCCTCTGGCCCCATGCTGCAGCAGGACATGTACCAACACTTTGCGACCTTCTCCTTTCCACAGCTACGGACACAGTTACACTCGGCTGTAGCCACCATCATCTCTGTCACAATCACTACAATGACATGGTTTCTGCATCTATGTGTGTAGAGGACTGTCCCTCCGTTCCTGACTGGAGGCACACTCCGCATCTGGATACTATATGTCCATTTTGCGGCCATGGGCGCTATACTGAATGCATGGTCTTTTGTGGCGAGCTTGCCTCCATTTTGGCCTGCAATCGACATGCGATTTGTCGGGAGTGTATGTTGGGCATGTTCAGTGCCAGCCATTGTGGCAATTGTTGTGCTGAGAATGCTCAGTTAGGTCTTCCATGTGCCCATCCACCTCATCCTTACAATGTGTGTCCTCTCTGTCGTCTAGGACAGACTCAATTCTTGAGCCTTTTCTTATCCTTACTTTCCCTTTTCCATTCTTTGTTTGTCTTCTCTTCATCTCTCGTCCCTGTGTTTATCACCTCCCCCTTTACTCTGCCTCTTTCTCACAGCGTACAAGTGGGCCATTATGGCACATGGGGATGCGGGCAGCTCACACTCAACTTTATCCATGTGGCAAGCCTTGTACGTCAAAAGGCTCGTGAAGGGGGAGTTAAAAGAAGAAAGAGAAAAAAATTCAAAAAATAGTGGTTTTAGTGTGCCCCTCATCTTTGTCTTGTTTTTTAATCTTTACCGTTTGTTTTGCACAGTGCACTCTTTTAGTTCATAGTTATGTGACCATATATATATACAGGGTTGCATCCCCGCCGACCGCCGACCCCGACCGCCGACCGTATTGCAGCCGACCAGTAGGGCCGACCGGTCGGCGGTCCGCCGACCAGTTAGAAAACAGCCTTCCACTGATTTAAAAAAAACCTGATTTGGGGGCTGTACTGCGCTTGCTGAGTACAGCCCAAATCTGCTGAGAAACTTGGGTTGCCAACATTTTTCGTCGGGGTGGGGTTGGGGGGGGGGTCCAGGAGGGGGTGGTTGGGGGTCTGCTAAGGGTGTGTGGGTCCTGTGGGGTGGGTTGCCTGAGGGGCTGTTTGAGGGTTCTGAGGGGCTTGATGGTATGGACCATTTTGCAGCATTTTTCTGCATTTTGCAGTGGTGTTAGGGGGCAGGGTGTTTGGGTCAAGGCCCCAAGGGTGTTTGGGGTCCCGTCGGTGAGGTTTGGGGGGGGGGGGACACAGGAAGTTGAGCAAGAAGATGAAC